TTGAGATCTATGATTACTTGACGCTGCAGGTTTTCATTATAATGGAGAACAAGAGTAATGCCCCTGTTTGGCGGCCATTTTTTTTGGTAAAACATGGTTTTAAATAGTGATTTTATGGAGAATGTGTGATTAAAATGTAGAGGAAGAGTTTTAGGTTTACGTGTAGAATATTATTTTTGTATGAATATGTGGTTGAAAATAAGTATGTGGAAAAAAATTAAAAGAATGGAAGACAAACAAAGTTATCTTACGTCTCCTAGTCTGCCTCTCACAAACCCAAACCCTCCCACCTCCACCCTCAAATATTTCCACATCCTCGAGAGATTTTCTTTTATAAAATATTTCCATGANNNCTTTTATAAAATATTTCCATGACTGTTTTCACTATGAAATAAACAAGCATTGATTTAAGATGTGCTGTCACAAATTCACCAACAATTGAACTTTGTAGAAATTATTTGCATTGTCGAAAACAATTTTGCATATTCAGAATTGGAATGTAATAAATCACAAAGAAACAAAACTCTGAACCACACCATCAAATCCCTTCCTAGTTTATCTCACAAAACAATCCAAATCCACATATTCATATCATATTGATGAAATTATATAAAATTATCCTGTTATTACTTGCTTCAATTAACACCACGACTTCACTGCTTCAATTTCATGAATTTGGGTGTTTTGGTGGAAATTGGGAATCTCAGGTTTGGGTGGTGTTTGTGGATCATTTACAGATCTTATAAGATTGGGCTAATTATTTGGCCCATTTCAAAAAAAATTTAAGCTTAAGTTGACTGCTAACTTATATTCTTAAATGGGGGTGGCCCAAAGTTCAGTGCAGGTAGATGCCTGTACTAGGCCTTCATTGGGTCAGCCCCTGCTCGTGACCTTCACCCATCGACCTTACCGTGAAGGTTGATCCGCGGTTGATGTCTAAAGTTTACATATGATTAGGCTCTATAGAGTTCTAAACATAAGACCTCGACACCTACCACTCAGTTCTTGTATGAATATACAAGAAGGGGTGAAGTATATTGCATTTGCTATCAATCATCATGTTTAATCGTGGTTACTTGCTCCTTTTGCAGTAGGCAAATAATCGCAGATGCACTCCAGGAAACAATATCCTCTCTGAACGACTTTGAGCAGGGTATCAAGAACTGCCTCGAAGTTTAATTGTTTTTGGTTTTTGAGCTAAAAATCTTCTGGGGGAGAAGATTTTGAACACATTCTTCCGGGGATAAGATGGAAACAAATGAATCATGGGCAACATGCCTGCTCTCTTCCTCCATGGATGAATTCTATTACCCCAATCAATGAAAAGAACGAGATTTAAACATGAATCTCTTGACTGTCCTAGATTCTTTTATGCATTTTATGTTAATGTTTGTTTTGAGATGCTAATTCGACATCAACAATTTCTTTTTCACATATATAATCGTTATGTTTTACCTGGGTTATTCTATTCAACCTCATATAAAGAAAAGATCGGCCAAGCCATTGTGGGTTGTATATAACGAGATGCAATTTCAATTTATGAAATTATGTAACTTCAATTTATGAAATTATGTAACTTAAATATGTGCTCGCTATTTGACAGTTGATATACATGCATAAATATGGAGTATGGAGCCTGTTGTTTTCTAATAACCCAGACGATCTTTGCCTAGTTTGGTGCAGAACTTATTGAAACAGTTCTTGAAGTCTCTTTTTCTATCAGTCTTGATGCCCTAAAGCATTTTTGAAATGTTAAGTTAGGAGAAATAAAGTTGAAGATTTCTTTGTATACATTTGTTTGTTATTATGTTGTACTTCTGTTTGCTTTTCCGGTGTAATCAGCTAATAGCTATTTTTGTCTTGACGGATTAAGGCCACCCAATGGTCGGGCAATTATTTGTGAGAACGCTGT